CCCCCCCCCCCCCCCCCCCCTGTGATATGATTTTCCCGTCTACATCGCATGCAAATGGGTTATAGGGTTGGCGGCACCGAAAGCGATGGTCATGTTGAAGGTGTGTCGTCGACAACTTCTCGATGAAGCAATCAAGAAGATTGTGGAAGAGAGAGAGCCGAGACCATGTGATCGCTTGAACGAGTCAATCTAACCGTTGACCTTCCTAGTCAACCCTTTCTTTCAAACGGTATCGCTGGCGGACGAATGGCACGCGAAGTATCAATAATCGGCTGATGATCCCTTGTAACGTAGGATTTGACTGCTGTGTGTTTTTTCCGTTGGATACACGCTTCCGTTCGAACGGATGGAAATCATAAGCCAAGCACTGCCTCCAATGAACGAGTGCGCCCCTCTGGCTGATGTTCGTTGAACCGTCACAATCTTTGACCATGGTTTCACCGACGATTTCTCGTACAACAGCGAGGTTTCAACAAGCTTCCTTTCTTACTTGCTTGCTTGTACGACACAACACCGCCACACCTGCCACCATTGCCAGTCCAATACTCGTTGGAATAATCCTGGGGCACATGGTGCTCGCGCTGTGGGAGGGAGGCATGTCCCCGTTCCCCTTGCATCCGGCGGTAGCGGCGACCGAGGTGTTTTTCTCCCTCTGTTATGCGGCGCACATCCTCCTCAACCTTTGGACGTTCGGCGTCAAGCAGTACAGGTTAAGTGGCTGTTGTAAAGTAGCCACTCAGCGTTCCTGCAGCTCTTTATGGTTGCTGTCGGGGATGTTGTTCTCGTCGTCGTCGCAATCGTGCTGTTGACTGTAGTTCGTTGAATTTGTTGGTGATGTTGCTCTTGATACCGCTACAACAGTTGTCGAGGTTCCGTCGTCGTTGTTGCTGCTGCTTTCCTTTGAAGAAGTCAAGGTTGGTCTACATAGCACCTGTATTGTTTTGCGCCGTTGTCGTCGGGAATCGCAAAATCTGATGAACGTGTTGCCCGTGCTGTCTCTCTCTCTCTCTCTCTCTCTCTCTCTCTCTCTCTCTCTCTCTCTCTGGTTGAAGCAGTACTTAAATTTTGTTGCGAGACCTTAGTTTGTGTGTGTTGCAAGCGTTGGTGATGCCTCTACAAATAGGGCGTAAAGGGTGCCTTGTGGTAAGCCCAAGGCTATGTTTTGCGCTCCGGGCTGTGGTGCCGCTGTCGAGGAAATCACGGCTCGTGTCGTGTTGTGGTCGTCACGTGTGTTGAAGAGCATACCTTCAGACAGCATCGATACATAGTCGTTGGGCTGTTCGACATGGAAAATGAGCAACACGTGCAAGTATAATGTATCGTAAACAACGTCTTTACCGCGGATGATTGAGCGCGCCTTGACCCCCTCCCCCGCAATGACACCCGAGAACTACACACCGGAGCCCTCTCCTCACTCTCGCACGCCCATCCCCCACCGACCCATACCCTTCATTACACGTCCTTAATTTAGGGACAAAAAGTGGCACTTCACCTTCACGGTGCTGGCGGCGGCACACCTAGTCCTCATGTGCTTGGCGTTCTTGGCGTCCAAGAGGAGCCGAACTTCTGTCGAGGCACCACCACCAGCTCCAGCGAGTGGCACTGCCACGACGGCGGGAGGCTTGTATGACGATGACGAGGACTGGTGGAACTGTTCGAGATTCGCGCTGCTGGGGGCGCAAGCCTTGCGGCCGATGATGCTGATCAGCAACCTCAAGACCATCCGGAGGGTGTTCACGAACGTGCTCAGGTGAATCCAGAAAGCCAGCCAGCCACCTAGCTATTATTCTTCCCTGTTTCCTACTCGAGGAGTAGGATTGTTGTGATTCGAATATAGAAGTATGTCGTTGTTTGCGGCGTCATGATAACGGTTTGAAGATTTCGTTTGGTGGTCTTGGGGGGAGGGGCGGGTGTTGGATTGCTTCCGAATTTCGCACTATGCAGCTATCTCTGTTGAAGTCCATTCGGAGAGGACTGTTCACGAACTCGCTCTAGTGAGCGTCCATCGTCAACCGGATTGTGTTGTGCCCCAGACCACACCATACCATACCATTAGGCACACGGTATGGGATGCGATATTCACGATAGTGTCACGTCGAAACTTCTGTGGCACGCACGAGCCCCACGTGGGAAAACTTGGTCTACCATACTTGTCTGAGGTGGTACGCTGTGTGATACACTGCTGCGTGTTAGCTGTGTGCCTCTCCTCGGCCTCTGACTTGCTCTACCCATACCTATCTCCCACGCGGCGTGTCCCTTTACGTAAGTCGTAAAGCCTACATACAGTAGGAGCCTGGTACTGGAAAATTCGCTGACTTGGCTTAAGTAAAAAGTGCCCCCAACGCATTTGGGGACACTCTCCATACTGAAGCAAAGTCAGCCGTCGTCCCTCGGCACTGTACAGCCTGTCCCAATGAGCGGACGCGATTTTTTGTGGACCCTAACCTGTAATCGGCTGCGTACGTAGGAGGGATAAGGTTTCAGTACCAGTAGGAAACAACTCTCCACAGCTCTCCAACCCAATTCCGACCCAGACCTCCATCGCCGAGTTTCACCCTTATCCCTAACCGAAATATCAACTCCGACATCGACCCCACCTCCGACCTCAACCCGACCCTGACACCCAACATCAACTCCGCACCCAACTCCAACCCCCGCTGCTATTGAACCAACGCACTCACCAGAACTGCGAAGCGTACGGGTAGCATCCTGATGCTGGGAGCGGTGGTGCTCGCCTTCTACTCCGTCTTGGGTATCAACCTCTTCAATTCAAAGCAGGTGAGCGATGCAGCCGCAGGGAAGAAGGGAAGAAGGGAAGAAGGCTATCCTCTTTCTCGTCACGACGTTGTCAACAGGGTTCTGGTGCTGTTTTTCGGTGCCACTTCGTTTCTCTCGCACGCACTCAAGATGTTTCCTTTCCGGAGCACCTCTGTTCATCTTCACTCGATCGAGAACAGACGGGCATGCCACGTGTACTCGCCAAACGCGTAGCGCACGCCGAATGTCATGGTTGGAGTGCCTGCTGGCTCGCCAGACACTCCTGTCTGCCCAGTTTTGGGACGTGTGTGCGTGTGTGTCTGGTGATACGTTCGCAATGGCTTGCCAGAGACGCACCCTGTTGCCGCCACAGAATCAACTCCTTCCGTCTGTCTGGCTTGTTTTGTTTTCGTTATGCCACCGGTCGTGTTCCACGAGTGGCTATGTGCACCGGCGGGTGTAACGTACAGCTTTTATTCGGTTACGTTGGCTCTGCGTTTTTTCACGCGAGTGAATTTGGTTGTAGCAGAAGCACACGAACGTCGATATTGAACGCGAATCCCTCTTGTTGTTGATTCTCATGTTGATTTCTTCGATTCTCGTGTTTTGCTCTTCGATTCTCATGTTTTTTGCTTCGATTATCATGCACTTTGCTTCAATTCTCATGTTCTTTACTTCGATTCTGATGGTTGAACGTCGATTCTCACGGTTTGACTTCAATTCTCATGGTTTTTGCTTCAATTCTTATGTTTTGTGCTTCGATTATCATGCTCTTTACTTCAATCCGCGCGGCATCACTTACGATGACGACGATGACAACAGCAACGAAACAAAAACCCTTAACATGGTCAAAATAGGTGAAAGGTTACACGGATGACGGAGACAACTTCAACAACTTCGGCAGCGCTGTCCTGTCCCTGTTCGTGCTTGTCACCGAGGAGAACTTTCCCATGGTAGCCGACCCTTCCTTCACGCAAAGGCCACTGGTGAGACAAGGCAAAAATACTTGAAAATCAAAAATACTTTAAAGTAGCATTCCGCATTTCAACGTCGACCAACGACATTTCGCTACTCTGTCTGCTTGCTGGCTTCGCTTGCTTTTATCCGCTTTTTTCTCTCTGAGGTAACAACTTGCGATGAAACAAGAAGGCAAAGATGACGAAACAGGGGGTACTCTTATGTTTTGCATGCCTTAGCGGTTAGACCATTGACCACGCGTCCTCGAGAGGACGGGGCATTGTTCCCACCGGACCAATCACCGATGGCCCGTCGTTCTTTTCTACTTTGCCAAAGGTGGCTCAAAAATGTCTTCCCTAGTCTGTCTATCCTAACGATATCCCTTCCCGCCTTTTCAATCCACCTCCTATTCCATGCCTCAAACATCTCCCTGTACGTCCCATCTATTTTTCCCAGCTCAGTCACGTACACTTCCCTCTCCTTCTTGTACAACGGACATTCCGCGACTACATGAACACGGTCTTCGCATTCGAAGCCGCAATCACATTTGAACTCGTCGTCTTCCTCGTCTACCGTCCTATGTCTTCGTCGACGTTCTCGAAGGCCTATGTC